AACCTTCGCTCAAAGTCTAAAAAAATTATGCATAACGTCGTTTGTTGATAGGTGAGATAGATTTTCTTTAACTTTGAGTGGAGGTTTCTTGACAACAACCGAACCAATTTTAATAAATTTTTTTTTATTCGAACTCTAAATATGTGCAGAATTCAAATAAAAAAAATTTAATTGAAATTGGTTAGGTAGTTATCGAGAAACCTTCGCTCAAAAGTTTTGAAAAAAAATGAAATGTGTAATTAACAAATTTTATCTGATTCGCCGGATGATGATCTACAACACGTGATCCGGACATTTTTCTTCGCCATGGCTAGGGTGCTCCAGTTAGTCTGTATTACGTAAGTGGGAAAAATAGTCAATGCATAATATGATCAACAGTGTCATGCAGACCAATTAAATACCCAGAATCGCACAGACACATTTGAAATGCCTGTACGTTGTACAAACTCCGTTCCTGGTAAATGAAAATTACCAAATATTTAGCATTGAGGCCTTTAAATTTATATTGGGACACTAATTTTTGTGCCTAAAAACTTATTTTTACTATCGTTTGTTATAACATCTTCGATTTTACAGATATATGCGCTCATTTATATTTTTTAAAACAATGAATACGTCACGCGGACCAATCAATTCCAAGATTTTGTGTACAGAGGCATTTGTTCCTGGTACCTACCTTTTAAAGTATTGTTCGGGGTGCTATACAAAGTCACAATGACAGATTATCCAATCATATGCTGAGAATCGCACAGACACATTAACTTGTCTGTAAACCATACACTACGTTTACAAACTCCGTTCCTGGTAAATAGGAAGATGCTATATTTTTGGTTCGAAGAAATGATTTACGAATTCAACTAAACTTCGAAGCTACTATAAAACATACTAGATATCATAACCAACCAACTTATTTTGTTTGTGCTAAAGACACTTACCATGATAAATCTCTTTGTGGTAATATAAAGCAAAAATTTTCTTAATATATCAGATACAAGATCAAACACATTATGTGTATATTACCACTGTCGATCAGTATAAAATTGGCTTTAACTGTTAATATTTGTGTATGTGATGGTATGTGAATGACGCACAAGGTATACTTAGTAAGATTGTGTATGATGACACATCTCTGTTAGTAGAAAATACAAATAATAATGGAAAAAATATTATTATTGACAAACCTCCAAAATATATTATAATCGGGCTTTTAAACTGTGCACCAGATGTATATGATAATCTTCCGTTATCAAACAAACGTGTAAATCTACACATAAAATAGAAGATGGCTCGAAAATAACAAGAGAATTTCAGAGAATTCAATTACCTGTCACTCCTGCGTTTGCACTTACAGAATTCAAATGTCAAGGTGCCACAATAAAAAAAGCAATCGTCAATTTAAATGGTAGTAACATAAGATCTGGCATTTATGTGATGTTATCCCGAGTACAAAGATTACAAGATATTATGATACTTCAACCCTTTAATCAATCAAAACTAAATGTAGCCATAGAACCAAATCTTAAAAATGAACTTGAACGTCTTGAAAAATGTTCTGAAACAACAAATGACTAAATGGCCTGATATTCACAAAATATAATCGATTAATATATTAATTAGGATTTATAAATATAAATAATTTTTTACATTGAATAACATTCTATTTTTTTCATATTTCTTATAACAGTTCATTATGTTTATTAAATACTATTTCGTTTTTTCATTCCTACTACGCTTACTTGTTAATATTACTACAAAAATTCATATTATTGAAATTAAATTTCGTAAATATTTTTGCCTATACTAATTAAAGCCTGACACATTATTAAAACGTATCAAGTAATTCCTATCACAACAAATAATACCATAAATATAACTAGTAAATCCCAACGATTTATTTAAATGATGAAAAAAAGTATACATTAAATATAAAATTATACTTATTTTATATATAAACACATACACAAACATACTTAAATATAAACTTGATATAGTAAATCAACATTCAAAACAATAACATAAATACATAATCCTCGCGCTTTCTCATACCCCTAATACAGTAAATCAACATTAATAACACAATAATATAAATACATAATCCTTACGCTTTCTCGTTGCTATTTGTACCCTTAAACATTTCAGACCGTCTTCTAGTATTGTGAATTACAGGCTGAATTACTTTTTCTTTACCTTTATCGATCTTTTCAAGGCTAGACGTCTCTCTATTATTATTGTAAGTATTATTTCCTTCATATTCGTCACTCTCATTCATATCTTCCTTATTACATTCATTTGTAAATTCACTGCAAGAACTAACATACTCGATATGATCTATTTCATCCTCTAACCTTACACGCTTTGATGAATGTGAATCTCCAATAACAGAATCATTTGCAAACTCGCTCTCTATTTTATCTAAATCCGAATCCTTGACAGTAACAACCTTAGATAAATCTTCGTTAAAACTCTGATGTACATTTAAAAGTCTTGAACGAACTGATCTATATGATGCTGGAACAGTCTGAGAACCTTCTGAATCGAGAACATTTTTTTATTATTACAGAACCAATATCAACAAAAGAAACGTCAACGGCATATACATATAGATCTTTTTCTATGACCTCCATCTGCCCCACAACAAAAAGTACTGACTCATTTAATCGGTTATTGTTTGTCAAATGTTTAAATCGAGTATTATGATATGGAAACACTGTTTTAACTATAAAACTATAATTTTTCCCGGCATAATCACTCACTGATACACTAACAATTGCATTTTCTTCATTAATCTCTCTTGGTGCTTCTTGAGTAACACCTACGAGCGAAGCTTTTAATGGACATCTATTCGAACCAAGGTCTCTTTTAACCATAATATGAGTTGACGATGCGACAGTCATCTAAATTTAACAAAAAGTAAATCAATATCTATTCATTAAAATATAGCTGTCCAAAATACTTACTTTTAACCTTAACTTGACATTATAATTTCTGGGCACAACTTTTCCACCACAATAATACTCATTTTTTTCGAAAATTGATTGCGAATTAGGATCTCTCTCCTCATGATTTGTTGAAATAAACAAAACCATCTCCATCTCACAATCTTCACTCTCAACAGGATAAGCACCAATCGCCCATACAACAAATAATTTTGTATCTTCCTTATAAGACTGACGAACCTGATTTACTTTCACAATCGTATCAACATTACAAGGCATTATGAAACATCAAACACATGTACGCTAATTTTTACCTGCTAAGAAATAACCCATATATATCATAACAATAATACGTTACATCATACTAAACTCATTCACAAAATTAAACAAAATAAATAACACTAAGTAAAAACAACGCTGATTTTCCCAACCTTACCAAATACAATAAATTACTATTTAATAACACACTTTATGACACATTTAATGAAGTAATAAATTCGATATATATCCAAATTTAGTAAGCATGACACTGTATCTATTAACATAATCATATACATTTCTAAAAACCTATTATATTCATATAGACTATAATGACACAATGATTATGAAATATTACATAAGAAAAATAAACAAATAAATCATCCACTTAACAAATACAGTATACCCCCAAAACCAACCCCGTCAAGACCAATAACCTAACACAAATTAATCTATCATGTCTATTCCATAATTCAAACCCAATAAACCTCTATTTTCAATAAATACTCGAAAAATCAAATAACCATAAAACATTCAACAATATGAATCAATCTAAATGAACCTTATATAACTAATTATATGCCAAAAAAAAAGGACCCTCCAGACCTTGAAGTATCTATATTCATAACTGTATAACCAAAATATCACTACAGTTTTAAATCTACATAACAACTCTCAAAACCAATGCAAAACTATCCTCATACATACCAAATTAAAAAATTTGCCGTATTAACTATGAATATTGATTTTTTTTTTTGCAATATTACTACACAAAATATCTACACTAATTTTTCATATTACATTAAATAATAATATATTGCATAACAATTATGAATAAAACATATGCATTCACGATAAAACTTTAATATCAAATATTGTGCGGCCTTGCCCAATAAAAGTTTAATAACACGAATTTAACAAGAATAAAAATTACGATATTCTATCACACATGATCGTGCTGGTCCTGCGCGGCGTCACGCGCTGCGCAGCTACCCAAATAAATATATATTGTAATTAAACATATTTTTAAATACACAAAATAAAGCATTCCGTTCCTGGCTTTAGCACGACACCTTCGTGCAGCTACCTGGTAGTATGATTATAATTAAATGCGATTATATAGAGTGTGACTATGGAGAGTTTGACTGTATTTGGATGATCTTTCCTATTTTCGTTAAAATGAGATCCCAAACTTAGCCTTTATTTGAATTTCGTTTTTAGTGATTGTAAAAATACAAAAATCTTCATAGAAACCATATTCTTTTATACTATCTATTCAAGAATAAAGACAAAGCTGTAAGCTTTATTGTATGTGCGGGAAAACTTTTGTTGAGCACTGTAAAGTTATTATTTATTCAAAAAAAGCTAAAAATATAAAATATTATCAATGATATCAACTTAGTGTAACAAATTTTATTGCACATTACACAAATAGGCAGATTCTTGGAATTTTCCTTTGTTCAAACCCACCTGTTTTTAGAAATTGAAGCCTTACTTGAAAATTCCGTTTCATCGTTATATAAAGTCCGATAAGTAATTATCGGAGCAAATTTTATAGTTCGAAATGGCAGATGTAGAGCAAAGAGAAATGTCATGTGATGTATCTTTTAATAAAGTCTGAATACAAATAAATACAATACTAACTTAGTTTTTGAATGTTCGGAACAATATGAAGTATCCGTGGAAAGAGTAAAAAACTTCAATTACTCACAATTTACTGACGTGACCCTTATCGAGAGTGGAAAATTTGCAATTATATTTTCAGCCACCTTTGAAGATAAAAAATATGCATTAAAAAGCCTAAATAATAACTTGAAAATTGATGTTGAAACAATAAGGCGAATTAAACGTGAGGTAATATACCATATTTTAAATACTTAATATTAAATCTTCAAAATTAAGGATTCCATGCAATAATGTAGATTGAAATTCTTTGTGATATCGAACACGAAAATATTATCAAATTTTATGGAATTTCAAAAGGTATAATAAAGATTCGTTTTAAAACTCAAAAGTACTCGGAATATAAATTTTAACTTTGCCTAAATATAATTTAGATTCACTATCACGCAGGTTTATGTTAGTATTGCAACTTGCAGATGGGGGAACTCTCCGAGAACATTTAGAACAAAAGCAACATGAAAATATTTACAAAATTTCATGGTACGAACTTATTCAAATTGCAAATGGAATTGCTAATGGGTTGAAATATTTGCACGCAAATGATATTATTCATCAGGACCTGGTAAGGTTTAGTTTTTCAATTTTTTCATTCCAAACTAAATTTTAAATTTGTGTTTATAACTTTAATTAGCATTCTATTAATATTTTGATGAATAATGGTATGGCCTTGATTACGAATTTTGGAGTATCGAAACACTTAAATGAAATATCCAATCCAAAAATTTCTTATTTGACATGTAATCCTGCATATACTGATCCTCAGTATTTAAAACACGGAGATAAGGAAATAATTGATAAAAAATCCGACATTTATAGTCTAGGTGTCTTACTTTGGGAACTTACAAGTGGAGTTCCTCCATTTAATGGTACTCCAAACCAGATTTTAGTTGCAATGATTTTACAAAATAAAAGAGAAGAAATCATTGCCGACACACCCAAAGAATATGCCGAACTTTACACAAAATGTTGGTCTTTTGAACCTGAACAACGCCCCTCAATGGATGAAATAAAAATTTCACTTGAAAAATTATCAACTGAAACAGCCACTAATTTTATAGTAAATAATATTTTTAATACTAATTATTCAAACAGGTGAGTATGAAATTTATGACAGAGACAAAATTTTCATGTTTTTTAAAGAATACTTATTATCTCTGTTATAATTTAATACAAATAGTGATGAAAGCAAACAAAATAATCCGTTTTTAAATAAATATTATATTTTCCGTTTTATGATATTTGCATTCGTCATTTTCGTTGGAATTAGTTATTTAATGAGAAACAAACCACTTGAAGAATCACTTGCATACTATAACAAATTATTAGAAGTTGAGCCAGACAATGCATTTGTATTAGGAAAGCGTGGAACAATTTACATGACAATGAAAAGATATGAAGAAGCACTTGCAGATTTAAATAATACATTGAAAATTGAACCAAATAACACATTAGCATTATGCCGTCGTGGAGAAATTTATTGCATAATGAAACGATACGGAGAGTCACTTGCAGATTTGAACAAATCATTAGAAATTAAGCCAAATAATGCATTGGCACTGTGCCATCGTGGAGAAACTTATCGCATGATGAAACGATACGAAGAGTCACTTGCAGATTTGAGCAAATCATTAGAAATTGAACCAAATAATGCATTAGCACTGTGCCATCGTGGAGCAACCTATTCTATGATGAAAAAATATGAAGAATCAATTGCAGATTTGAATAAATCATTAGAAATTGAACCAAATAATGCACGGACATTAAGAATTCGGGGAGAGACCTATCGACAAACGAACAAATACGAAGAGTCACTTGCAGATTTGACTAAATTGTTAGAAATTGAACCAAATGACGCATGGGCTTTAAGACGCCGTGGAGACACCTATTACATGATGAAAAGATACGAAGAATCACTTGCAGATTTGAAAAAATCGTTAGAAATTGAACCAAATGATGCGCAGGCATTAATAATTCGAGCAAAAATATATCGTCTAATGAACAGATACGAAGAGTCACTTGCAGATTTAAATAAATCGTTAGAAATTGAACCAAATGATGCGCAGGCATTAATAATTCGAGCAAAAATATATCATCTAATGAACAGATACGAAGAGTCATTTGCAGATTTGAATAAATCATTAGAAATTGAACCAAATAACGCATGGGCATTAAGAATTCGGGGAGAGACCTATCTACTAACGAACAAATACGAAGAGTCACTTGCAGATTTGAATAAATCGTTAGAAATTGAACCAAATAATGCAGAGGCATTAATCATTCGTGGAGGTACCTATTATATGATGAAAAGATATGAAGAGTCACTTGCAGATTTGAATAAATCATTAGAAATTGAACCAAATAATGCGGAGGCATTAAGAATTCGGTGCGAGATCTATCGACTAACGAACAAATACGAAGAGTCACTTGCAGATTTGAATAAATCGTTAGAAATCGAACCAAATCATGCAGAGGCATTAAGAAGACGTGGATGGATCTATCTTAATATGAACAGATACGAAGAGTCACTTGAAGATTTAAATAAATCGTTAGAAATTGAACCAAATAACGCATGGGTATTAAGAAGTCGTGGAAGGATCTATTACATGATGAAAAGATACGAAGAGTCACTTGCAGATTTGAATAAATCATTAGAAATTGAACCAAATAGTGCATGGGCATTAAGAATTCGAGGAGATACCTATCGACGAACGAACAAATACGAAGAGTCACTTGCAGATTTGAATAAATCGTTAGAAATTGAACCAAATGATGCGCAGGCATTAATAATTCGAGCAAAAATATATCGTATAATGAACAGATACGAAGAGTCACTTGCAGATTTGACTAAATTGTTAGAAATTGAACCAAATGATGCATGGGCTTTAAGACGTCGTGGAGACACCTATTACATGATGAAAAGATACGAAGAATCACTTGCAGATTTGAAAAAATCGTTAGAAATTGAACCAAATGATGCGCAGGCATTAATAATTCGAGCAAAAATATATCGTCTAATGAACAGATACGAAGAGTCACTTGCAGATTTAAATAAATCGTTAGAAATTGAACCAAATGATGCGCAGGCATTAATAATTCGAGCAAAAATATATCATCTAATGAACAGATACGAAGAGTCATTTGCAGATTTGAATAAATCATTAGAAATTGAACCAAATAACGCATGGGCATTAAGAATTCGGGGAGAGACCTATCTACTAACGAACAAATACGAAGAGTCACTTGCAGATTTGAATAAATCGTTAGAAATTGAACCAAATAATGCAGAGGCATTAATCATTCGTGGAGGTACCTATTATATGATGAAAAGATATGAAGAG